ATTCAACATAGAAGAAAACGTTCCTTGGTTAGGAGGACTGTACACAATGATTTCTGACAGGTTATCCAGTAGCATGTAAGTGATGAACAAGGCAAGATTGTCCTTGTCCTTTCACAAACACGAGGATCAAATAGCTTTAGGAACAACATATTTGACAGGTAATATAATTGTAGAATCAGGAACATTTTCACTGATGTTAAGCGTTTCGCTAGCATATCTCTGGCAAGTTGTCCCATGAGCAGGAGGAAATGGTAATGTTCTTGTTGTTACTGTTGTCGTCTTCGTCATCAACTTGAAACAGCAAAGCGAACTGGTGATCGTCAAGGACGAGGTTGTCCTCTGTTGTTAAGACAGAGAATTGCCCGTTTGAGATCTCTCCGCTTTCTGCTCCCCAGTCAAGAAGTTTTGCTATGTCCTCATCTTGCATCGTGTTCATCTGGAGAGACTCGTCTTCCTTTGGATTTAAACCTGTACTAACAGAAACAAAACATTTTCAGAATACACATGTTTTCGCAGATCATGAATCAGTTTGAGCTGGCTGATTATTACCTTGCAGGGAACATATATTGTTGGAAAAACCACAATGTCCGAAACTACCCGAAAAGACGAAGTTGTTGTCCATGAGTTGTCTCCGCTTAGGAGCCCAGCAGCCATCGGTTAAAGCCTCGACCTCCTCCATCACATTCTCTAACAGCTGACATGTACTTATATCCAAACCGGTGTTAAGGCTTTGGTTATAATTGCCATTGTCTGAGAAGTTGCTTACTTCATAGACACCTAAAGAGGCAGAGTATGGATTTTGGTTTGTAGGGAGCTCATGTTTCATGGAGTAAACCGGATTGGTAGATTGATAGGAGGGAGGAGTGTGAAGAAAGGACGGGGAAGAGACAAGGAAAGTGGTTGGAGAAGAAGTATAAGAGGGCTTAGTAGAGAAGCCATTGAAGGCAGTGTCGTAAGAACGTTTGGGACGCAGAGAAGGCGGTGGTGGTTTAGGGAAGGTGAAGAGAGGGAGGGTTGGAGTGTGGAAGGAGAAGGAAGAAGCTGTTGTTTGAGACGGAAGAGGAGATGAAGGAGTGTTTGGCTGTTGATGATACGTCTGCTGTTGCTGTTCGTGTTGTTGATGATTGTTTGGGGAAATATCTGGAGGGTAGAGAGGAAGGCCTTGGCGTTGGAAGCGTTTCAACCTCGTGTTCCAGTAGTTCTTTATCTCGTTATCTGTCCTTCCTGGTAACTGTTGAAAACAAACAGTATAAGAAGAAGAATTAAGAAGCCTAGAAAACAGAGAAGGAAACAGAGTAGCTCTGCTTTCCACATGCATGATCAAGAATCATAACAGACAAAACGTACGTAAGGTTTGTTGTTTATATAATTAATATTTTGGTGACGAATGATGCTTATAATGATTTTGAGTCGCTATAATAATGATCACCTGAGCAGCCATGCGAGACCATTTGTTGCCGAGCTGAGAATGGAGCTGGATGATGAGACGTTCCTCTTCTGCGGTGAAGGAGCCTTTCCTGAGATTAGGTCGGAGGTGGTTAGCCCAGCGGAGGCGGCAGCTCTTGCCGCACCGAGCCAGCCACGTCTTCTTCTGAACCGCGTTCCAGTTTCCTTCTCCGTATTCCCTAACGTAAGCCGCAAGTGTCTCGTCCTCAGCCGCCGTCCACGGACCTTTCTTCAAAACCATACCTCCATCTCCTCCGTCTGATCCAACGTCCTCCTTGGGTGCTCCTCCGCCGTACAGGATCATCGCCCCTTCACTGCGTCCCCTTGATCCGACAATTCAGGGGACAAAAATGACGATTTTTTAGTTTGTTTATTAGTTTGAGATTGGTTCCTGAGATGTGGGGCCTGATGGTTCTAGACGGTGATTGGTTGAACGTCGGGGGGTTTTTTTAAAAGGTAGGATTTACAAAATGATATTCACCCCCCGAGTTCTTCCCATAGTAAATTTTGCTGGTTTTCTTTTAACCTCTTAGCTCTTTCACAAAAGAAAGGAGAAACGAAAAAGGGCATCTCTGGTAATTTTTCGAGGTAACTAAAATTACAAGTGGTAAATAGAATGAGAGGACATGATATAAATAAGGAAGAGAGAGAGATCCAATAGTTTGTTTCATAAACAATAGCAAAATAAACCATTAGCAATAGGAAAAAAAATACAATAACACTCATATGTAACGAGCTTTGTTACATGAAAATAATGAAATACATAACATTTATTTAGAATAAGCGCATGGATTTGCTATGGAACCAAGTCAAGCTACTACCAGCCGATTTGGATAGATAAATTGATAAGCCAATGCTTTTTTTCCATGTAAACAAAGTGAACAATAACTATCGTAATATTATTAATTTCTTACACCAATCTCAATGCATGGTTTGCACATCGTGTTTGGTAGATTAAAAAAGAGCCGGACATCAATCTTTGTATCAAAAAAGATTTTCCACGATCAATTTCTTGGGAATTAGGTGAGGACAGCTTTGCTTTTATGTAGATTAAGAAAAGGATCCCTGAGATATCCTCTCCAATCGCCTTTGTATCATGGTTGTGCAATTTTTGGGTGTTTTGAACACTAAATATGTGTATTGTAACATATCTGATTACTATTGCCTTTCAAAACTGACACAAATTTCAAAATATCTGACCATTAAGCGTTGAGGAAGAGGTGAAACTATTAGAGAACTTCATAGATGAAGCATGATTCTCCAGAGAGTAAACCCTTGTGTTGAGATTCTCGATCTTGGAGTTGATTTCAGCTAGCTTCTTGCTTGTGTCCACTACACCATCAGCTTGCCCTTGAAGTAGTTGTTTAGCATTGCCTTGAGCTCATTCTCTTGTGAAGGTGCAGGCTGGGGTGGTTGGTGGGGAAAGCCTGGTGGATATTCATTTGTTGTCCAGGAAAAGTGCCTTGTGGTCCTTGGTAATTGTTCTTTTGACCATACCCATGTTGTGGCTTGACTCGATCGAGCTGCTTGTTGTTGAGGATAGACTTGGTCCTGAGGGTTAGCAACATCAGTGTTCGGTATGACATGGCAGGGTTGGACTTGTAATTATAGTATCCTTTGTTGTAACCTCCTTGCCCATTGCTCATGTAGCACACCTCAGCAAATTGTGTATCCTCCCCTTCTTGGACTGGTTCCATCTCTCAGCAGACACAAAGTTGACTTTCTTCATTGTGGACTGAGCTAGGATCAGCTTATCCAACTTCTCATTCAATGCCTTAACATCTTTTCTCAACTTTTCGTCTGACTCGATCGAGTGGTGGGTCGAGCTCCGGTTGGTGCGATCATACTCTTCTCCATAGCTTCCATTTGAGTTAGCTATGTTCTCCACAAGTTGCCAGCCATCATCTACATCCTGGTTGAGGAAGTTCCCATTGCTAGCTGTGTCTAGCATCTCCCTATACCTAGGCAAGCATCCTCTATAAAGAGTGGAGAGTAGTGATTCATTGTTGAATCCATGGTGTGGGCACTGACTTGTGTAGCCTTTGAACCTCTCCCAAGCCTCTGCGAATGTCTCATTGTTTCGCTGGATGAAGCTGGATATCTCTCCTCTAAGCTTGGCTGTGCGACCGGTGGAGAAAAACTTAGCAAGAAAGGCCTTCTTGCATTCATCCCAAGTGGTGATTGTGCCATGGGGCAAGCTCTTCTCCCATTGGTGAGCTTTGTCAGCTAGAGACATAGGAAAGAGTCTCAGCTTGATGGCATCTTCAGAGACACCATTGATCTTTGTCAAATCACAAAGCCTATCAAACTCATCAAGGTGGTCAATGGGGTCTTCACTTGGCAATCCATGGAACATCTTGTTCTGGACAAGGTTGATCATTCCCAGCTTGATCTCAAAGTTGTGGTTCTGCACTGGTGGTGGAACAATCCCTTGTCTCTGTTGGTGGCGGTTTGGAGCATCTCCTTGACCAATCGGTCGAGTTTGCCTAGCTCGACCGAGTCCATTGCCCAAAGGGTTTCCATTCCCCTCTGGTACATCCATTGTATCAGCAACAAGCACCTCAGGTTCCTCTTGTACCCTCTGTGACCTCTGAACCCTCTTTCTACCCGTTGTAAGTCTAGCTCGACCAAGTCTTCAGTTAGACCGACTCGATCGAGTTCGCATACACCTGCAAAAAGAGACAAAAACCCAGCAGTACAATAGAACAGGGGTGGTATAGCTTGATCGTCCAAGTGTGTTTGAAACTCAAATGCAACAAAAATATTCCCAAATCGGCAACGGCGCCAAATTGATGATAGGATTTTGTGTGTGTGTGATATGAAATGAGGTGGAATGCAACAGGGTGAATAAAGATGAATGGTATGGTGCAATCACAATCAATCAATTCCTCTTAACCATCATAGTCATTGAAGTATAAGAGGTTATCAATCCAAAATGGGAAACTTGTCACTCTATGAGAATATGAAACAACCGAAAGTCAAGCAAGCAGTTATAGATTTGAAGTAACACTAACAACCTAAAAAAATGAAAAGCAGTGCAATAAAAGTAAACAAAGCAGTGAAGTCAGCTCGACCAAGACTCGAGTCGAGTAGAGCAAAGTACCAGCTCGATCGAGTTTAGGGACGAGTTGAGACAAACAAAGCTAAAGGTGACGACTTTAACAAGATAAAGAGAGAATTAGGGTTCAAGACAGGGTTTTGCAATCAAAGGAATCTACACTTAATCAATCTAGCTCTTAAAACTCCTTGTATCAAGGCTTCTCTTGATATTGGGCTTCTCAATGCCTAGCCAACCCTTTCCCAAGGTGGAGGCTATCAACCAAGGAATGATCTCAGAAACAGGGGGTTAGCCAGTGAGAATCAAACCTTGGAGGCTATAGGATCATTGCCCAAACTAATCCATCCAACCCCTTAGACCTCTATTGTCTAGAGCAAGAGATATTGGAGCTCTTAGTGGATCTTTTCCAGCGAATGCCATCACTTCGTGTGGGGAGTCGCCTAAGGACTTACAAGCCAGGGGTAGTGGTCATGTAGCCTTAAGATCTATCCAAAAGAGAGAGAATCTAGATTAAGACCATAAGCTAGAAGGATTAAGCATATGAAACCTCTAATCTATCCCATCTCAAACCCTAATGGGTAACTACTCACTACACATGAATGTAAACACAAGCAAATGCAATAAAAGAGACATCATAAGAAAGAGGAGATGAAATTAAACAACTTTTATTGAAATAAGCAAGTGCAAATACAAGAGAGATTATCCAGGATCTAAGATTCAAGAAGCAAGAGCTTCAAGAACACAAAGATGGGATTAGATCTCTAAAAAGTAAAAGACAATAAATTAAAAGAAACTAAAACAAAAGTAATCTAAAGCTTGGTGGTTTTTTCGTGGCTTAGAGCCTTTAAATACAAGAGGATTAGGTTTAGGGTCAAAGGAAAGTCAAGGGGGAAGCAACATTTTTCGGGTTTGACTTTGACTTCCAGCTCGATCGAGTTGAAGCTTGGCCGGTCGAGTTGAGGAACTCGACCGGTTGGTCGAGTGGACGGTCGAGCTGGTCTTCAAGATGGCTTCTCCCTTCTTCCTTTGCGTATCCAGTTGAGCTGCTTCCATGTGCCAAGTCCCTCCATGCTCCTTGTCCCATATGCTCCAGAATGCTCCAAAAGACCTATTTCAAAGGACCAAACATGCATATGTATGCAAATGCAACCTAAAACTAACATGAATGCATAAGAAGAGAAAAGGAACAAGATATGATGCAAAAGATGCATAAAAGATGCTAAAACTATGCAAAAGATGCATAAAAGATGTGCTATGATCCGATGGATTCGTCAAATTAATTTCATTTCAGAAGACTAGATATCGAATCAAATTGGGATTCGATTTCTCCTATTCCCCCAAGTTGTGCGAATTTTCGTTTTGCTCAAGCTGTTAAACAAACGGTCTGGATGCCACAAATGCTGATGCTAATTTAATGGATAGAAAACATGCGAAATGAACTCGATAAGAATTATTACATCCTAAATATTTACCACTTTATTTATCTCTTTTCATCTTATTATTTTATATTTCCCTTATATATCTACATACATTCAAGACGATGTTGTACAATTCCATCTCATTTATTAACACAACGTTCAGATTTTTCCTTTTTTAACAAAGCGACGGTGTAACACCCCCGAACCGTCCTAGGCACAGACGTTCCGAGAAGCGCCACAAAATGTCGATGTTCGCCGAATAGGCCATCCCAGACTAAGAACAAATCAGAGCCTAGGTCAGCTCGTCCCACGAACTCGACCCTCTTGACCAAAGCCTAAGGCTTGCCAACCCGTACTTCGGTCAGGAGTTGTGTTAGCCCGGACCAAGCTAATATCATTGGAACATAAGGTCTTTACATAAAACTTTCCTTTATTAAAATATCAGAATGCTTACAAAATCCGACTTATTTAAAAAAAACATGCGGATCGATCCTTAGTTCCAAACCAAACAACAAACCATAATTTTACAAAAACATACCACAAAACTATTCTGGTGCCTACTGCCTGCAGCGGTCCGCTCTACTTCACACCTCTACGGTCACCTGAAAACATTAAACAAAAGGAGGATTCCCTAAACTCCAAACACAAACGCCGCGGGCTTCTAACCCCACCTGCACCTGCAATGAGGTTAGCACAACACAACATATGCAATCACACACAATAATGATGCTATAGCCTTAAGACTAACCGTACCCCAATCAAACAAGAACAGGTACGATCAATCCAAGACTATAACAACATCAAACAAGCAATCTATATGCAATGCCCATGCAAACCTAGACAAGTATCTAATACTTGTTTTCTATATGCAATAAGGCGCCTAGGTGCATTAGCCACATTCTCTGCCCACGCCTGTGAAGGTTCACGCTCATCCGGAATCACACAGAAACTAGATGAACGCCTTCACCCGGGCACTACAGTCCATCGCGGTACCCGGTTCATCCTTCCATCTATTGGCCTTACTGGCGCACCATGCCAATGTCTGGTTGGATCCCATATCGTCATATGGTACCATACTCGGCCAAGGCAGCTGACCAGGTTATCCTCCGAGTCTTCCTCCCTTCATGCACAGCCTCCACGCTGCCAATCCGGTTGGGCTCTGACGTGCGAGAATGCGCTTGACTACACCTTCCTAGACAACATGTGGTTAGACACGCCACATGTTCTCAGTACTTAGCATATGGGCCTTTACGCACCACTATGCCTCATACCACCGGTTCTGCGGCAGAGCTTCCCTTGCCTCGGAAGAGTACCCACAAGAACCTCGAAAGATCTGGCGGCTCAGCCGTCCGTGATCTTTCCACATCGGAGTCATACTCAACATATGGGCCTACGCACCACCATGTTAGTATGCACTCGAGGTTTAGCGGCATAGCCATGCTATAACCCCACAACCGATGTATCTATGAGATTTGGCGGCATAGCCATCCACAATCTCACATCACCTAATGAATAGATATGCATCTACACAAACAAGATCTGACGGCATAACCTTCCCCGAAGGTCACCCATCACAATCTTACACAGAAAAGAGATCTGTTGGCATATCCTTCCCCGAAGGTTACCCAACACAACCTCACACACAAAAGAGATCTGGCGGCCTAACCTTCCCCGAAGGTTACCCGACACAACCTCACAACACAAGAGATTTGATGGCCACACATTTGGTACAATTTTCTACAAACCTTAACTTTTTCCTTTCACTTTTCCTTTCACCCTTCTTAATTTGATTTTTCTTACACCGGGACGGTGCAAGTTAAGTCTGGGGGGATTACTAACACGTTTGTTCTTTTTGGCTTTCCATTGAGTCGTTTTATTGAGTCAAAATTTTGTCAAATAATTATGACCTTATCTTGGAGCTAACCATTGTTGTGCTAACGTTCACTACAAGAAATATGCTCATTGACAGCATACGATTAGTGCTATAATATATGTTTGATAGCGTTTTCATAAACGCTGTGTTAGTCGGAGCTATCGTAGGTCAGACCCATATGATAGCACTTTTTCAATGTGCTATTAAATGTTTATCTACTATAGCGTTATTAGAATGCTCTAACATCCTTTGCTATAACACATTTATGTGCTGTATTATATTTTGTTATAACTCATTTTGAATGCTATTAGATTAGATATCATATCATATTTGTGGTGCTGTAGTATTATTAGTTATAGCTAATTTACTAAGCTATGATCCATTGTTCTGTAGCAGCTTATTGAAGCAATAATTATTACTATAATGATTCTTATTCGATGTGATTAATATTGTATTTATAATACATAATAGTAAAGGAACCTTTTTGCATATATTGATATATATTATATATATATATATATATCTCATAATCCACCACACCATACATAAGTCTTAAAAAGAGTAACAACACAAGTGCAGCTACCAACAAAGTCTAAGAAACTCTTATTTCAGATGATCCACAACGGCAGCTACCGCTAATTTGTGTTTTTTGTTTAAGTGTTGGCGGCCACTACAGAAATTGGGCTCCAAAAGACAATTTTTTGTTCCCGCTTCATAAAATTTCGATGTAGCATTCTTAAAATGCTATAATATGGTATCCTAATTTAACATTCCCTTTTTAATAGCAGTTACGAAAACCGTGTTATGGTAATGTGCTATCAATGCCCATATTTCTTGTAGTGGTTTAAGTGACCATTGAAGCAGTTTTGGCAATACATCTTACCACAGGACACTATGAGTTGATCGATCTACCAAAAACGCCCACACCTCCAAGGACTTGAGAAGGATCCATCTTGACTCCGCCCTTAATGAACTTAATCTTCTCAGCTAGGGGCTTGGCATACAAATGGCATGATTCCTCATCCTCTCCATCAAATGAAAAAGTCTTAGTGAGTTCGTGCTTCCCTCTCTCTCCCCTTCAATTTAAAGAAAAAGCGTAAGGTCCAAGTAACCGGGGATTCGGTGGCAAACACCATCAATACTCGCGTCTATGGAAGGCCTATGGATCCAAGTAACCGGGGATTCGGTGGCAAACACCATCAATACTCGCGTCTATGGAAGGTCCAAGCAAAACCTCTATAATAAAGAGAAGGAGTTGAATAAAAAAAATACTTGCTACCCTAAAAAAGGGATGAATCAACTTGAAGAAGTGAGAAGAGAGAGAGGAGAAACATGGAGTAAAAAGACAAGTGCCAAACAAGGGGATGAGTAAGAGTCTAAAAGCCGGCTGATCGATACTCCCTAGTTGAGACCACACCTTTAGAAATGAAAGGAGTCAAGGGTGGTGAATTGGATTGTCCAAAGGAGAGGTGGCCGCTTTGGAAAAATCGCAAAACTCATGGTATGTACTCTTGTTCTTAATTCAAAATTTGCCTTTGCTACTTTCATGTGGATTACTAAAATCAAGCCAACCCGGATTTCCTAATGATTTGAGAGTTCTTGTTTTCAAACCTCTCTTCCTCTCTTAGTTTGCTTGGGGACAAGCAAAAGGCTAAGTCTGGGGGAGTTGATATATCCATATCTTTCATGTTTTTACAAGGTTTTCACTATGTTTTCAATACAAATAATGTGGTTTTTAGCCCAAGAGGTAGTTTTCTTGTATATTCTGGTTTTGAGCATCATTCAGGTCAAAATAGCAAAGAAGAGTCAAAATGGAGCAAAAGAGTCAAATCACCAAGTTCCCAAGTCTAGAGCACCAAATCTACATTTCTCGCTAAAGACCAAACCGGAGCATCCGAAGTACGACCGCATATTCATGCCTTCCCGACGTCCAAAAGTCATGATTCTTATATGGAAAGATAGATATTTGAGTCATGACCCGCGCGAAGTGGAAAGAGGTCATTTGGATCACTCGTTGGACCGGAACTTATTTTCTACCAAGACATGTCCGACGAGCGCCTAAGTAGAGCCCATGGAGACTTTGATGGATCAAGAGGCCCGAGCCGCGCCCAAGGCCTTGGCTCATCTTGACACTAGCATAACTCAATCCAGAAGCTTCCATTGGCCTGAACTCGGCCCATTCAAGAACTTGGAGAGCAAGCTCAAGCGGCTAAAGAGAAATGGAAACTTTCCTCTTCTGCGCGCGCTCAACTTTGCCGACCTAGACCCGCTCTCTACCTATATATACTTGCTTTTAGCCTCTTGTAAAAGAATCACACAGAGACACACTTATTCAATAAAGTTCGGAGCCACTTAGGTGGTCTCCTTCTTCTTTCTTTTCTTCTTTTGCATTTGTATATAGCTTGCATGTTTCAATTTATATAGTCTAGAAGTAGAGATTTCTCCCTAAGGGTGAGGCGGTTTAGTCATATTCCGCCGCCTCTCTCTCTAAGGATTCATGAGACTTCATCTACTATCTAAGACTCATTGTTGAATTATGGATCCTTCCAATGAGGACGTGATATAATGGCCATCGAAAATCGATTGTTAAAAGGGGAAACCCTATGGTTCTCCATCTTTATTTATGCTTAATGCTTGTTGCTAGAGTAGCTAACTAGTGACTTGATTTTAGGTTGATATACTCTCCAAAAGCTTGTTATATCTCCGGATATAGTATTTGATGGGCAAATCGTTTTAGGCTACGAAAGTAGACCTAAAGAGTTTTGTGAACAATCATTACTTGGATGTAATGCATGTCTCACTCTACAATGACCAACGAAAGCTGAGCCCATTGGTTTAAGAGACATAGGGGATTGGAACCACGAAAGTGGAATAATCCTTCCTTAGTGTTTTGAGTTCAAAAGAATCGGATTTTAACAAACTTTTCAATCGACTTGGCTCATGTTTTCAAAAGAGTTTTCAATAGTTCAATAATGTTGCTTGTATAGAATTGCATTGTTATTTCTTTTGTGTTCTAAACAAACACAAACCCTTGCATCTTTTGATTTAGCTTAGTCATTTAAACTCTATGATTATGTAATGTGTGAAATCCAATCCCTTGTGGTTCGACCCCTAAATACTACAATTATATGTTGTGCACTTGCAACACTAGTTGTCTTAGGGAATTATTACTTGTACTCATCCCATAGATGCCGCATCAACATCTTCTCGATTGGAGGAAGATTAACACCGGCTCCCTTGAAAGGGCGCTGCAGATAACCAACGCCACCACGATAGTTCAGAACCGGACCATCAACCGAGTTCTTGAACTCCCAATAGAAAGGCTTTCTGTTCGATCCGGAGCTATGGACTAGCCGCCGTTACCATCACTCCTCCGGTCCTGTCTCGGCCTCTTGTTCTAACGACGAACGCTACCATTACTATCATCATCGTGAGACCTTGAACTAACGACAGCAGCGTTATCCTGGTTGACCTGGCTAGCCATCTCAACACCAACCGAAGCTCGATTCTCGTTCTCAGATTGACGAGCCAAGGCCAGAGCCTCAGCAGCATTGGCCATCAATGTGTCTCCATCTGGAGGAGGAGCCCGCGAAGTCTCGCCGACGGCAAGCTTTCCTAGAGCTTTCTGCTGCTCACGGTAAGTTAATCTCTTAGACATCGCTTGCAAAGGAGGAACGCTATCGGTCGAGCTGTGAACTGATTCGTCGCAAAGTTCTTTCCCTAAAAATCACGACTCGATATCAGACCTTGCTATACGACGCATCTCGAATTTGTCGAATGAAACAATTACTAGTCCTCGGAAAATGTTACCTTGCTGAGATCGAGCATGACTCTGAGCTAACAGAGCTTGAACGACGTGTCTTGGTGGTGGGATTTCCTGGACGATTTGCTGCACTGGTGGGATCTCGTAAGCTCGCTGTATCCTTTGCGCTGTGAAAGACAACCAACGGCAACGTCCATCAAGAAGAGCCTCAGTTCGAGCTCGAAGTTCAGGCGTAAAGCAGATTCGACCAGGAGCTTCTGCAAAACAAAAAAAAGAAGCAAACTCGTTAATAACTCAATCTACAAAAGAAAAACGAATGGAATAAGAAACATTCTACTCTATCCTAACCAACACTATTCGTCCAGACTTTGGGAATTCTCCCAAAATCAAATTCCCCAACAGAAGCTTGGTCGATCTTGAAGAAAAACGCCTTTCGCTCCCAATCGTCATCCCGCTGCAGCGTACCCTCCAGAATTTTCCGATTCGTCCTCGCCGTAACATAAAACGATCCCGGCTGTCGCGAATTTCCCTTGTCGCGAATTTCACTTCAGGGAACACAGCTGGTGATATTCGGCGGTTCCGAACGGAAAACCGTTCTCACTCGACAGAAATTTTAAAGCAATAAGGGTTCGGAGTAGATTCGGAGTAAGCTGGGGCAACGCAAGCCCTAGATCCGAGAGGATCTCGAGGAGAAAAGCCGGCAACGGAAAGCTTAACCCACAGGAAACGAAATAGTGGAGATAAGCGCAATCGTAGCCGAGTCTAACCCTCTCGACCGATTCTTTCTTTCTCGGAGCACGAATCACCACACTGTAACGCTTCTGAAGGTCGTCAATTTGCTCGAGCGAGATAGTCGACCGCGGATGTAGTTCGAATCGATCTTCGACGACATAGCCACTGTCGTCGACGGCCGGCGCCACTTCTTCCACGGATGTCGACATATCAAAGCAAGAAAATCGAGAGAAACCTAACGAAATCGAGTCGAGAAAAAGAAGAGGTTCGAAGATCAAAAGCGAAATTTTCTAAGTTCAATCGAAAAAGAAATTTTGAAACCTAAAAGAAAATGGAGAGTTTAAAGCTTCCACAAAAACTCGTTAAAATGCAATAAATAAAAGTGACTAGAGAAGAGAAGTTACCTTGAAGACGAGTGGGTGCATGCGGTTATCAAACCCTTGGGAGTTGTATTTATAATCATGATTACTTCCAACGAGAATCGAGGGAAAATCTTTTTCGCCTCTTAATCGTAGCCATCGATCTAAGGGTCATACGACGCCACGTCATAACCTCCCAGCTATCGAGAAATTAAGTTCAAATTAATTCTGAACTCAAAATCCGAAACCGTTTTTCGGATTTCCTTATATTCAAATTATTCTTCGAGACACGAGCTGATTTGACCTCATCAAATCACAACTGCCTCGAAATTAAATTCCCGCCCATCGAGCTCTTCACTTCGCTCAAGGGGGCCTATTGTTGGGCCCTAATTTATCACCTAAATTTGGTCTGACTAAGGCCCGCCCGACAAAGCCTCTTCTAGCTCGGCCCATTCCACTATTGGCCCATGAATCCATCTTCGTCTGTTGTCAAGTTAGGATCGAGCATCAGTTTGAAGTCACGACCCGGTCAAAGGAGCTTAACGAGATCAACGAGAAATTCGGATCACGTGCCACAGGAAATCCCAAGGATCGCGGAAGAAGGTGGAACAGAAGCTGACTATAAAAGGAGGGGATCATCGAACAGAAGGGATCATCTTTTACTCACGGAATACATTTTTAACCTAAATCTATCTTGTACGCTCTTCGAGCTCTCGTATTCCCAGAAATACCTTGTAACCTTCAATCTTATTTGATCAATATAAAGTCCATATTTGCTTATTCTTTTGCCTAAGTTCTTGAGTGCTTGTGAGAATCTTACCTACTTCTTCCTCATCCCTAAACTACTATCAAATTTCTAAGTGTGAGTTTTACGTCCCACAATAATGACCATTGATTATTTTTTTGTAAATATAAATTGTATTTTTAAAGCAAACATGTCACAATCCGTAAAAACATTATGTTTTTTGTTGCAATGAAATTTACATATTTAAACTCAATTTTTGTTTTTTCAAAAAGAAAATTCTCTAATTTTTCATTATCTTTCTACGTGTTAATTAATTTATTCTTTACTTTTTTCAACTTGTAAACATTATAACATTTTTAAATAGGATAAACTCTTTAAATAAAAACTAATTATATACTATTTCAAGTTAAATATTTATTTATTTTATCACCATTTTATATTAGAACTGTTTGATTTTTATTTTAATATTAAGTTATCACATACTTTATATTAATAACTTACATTTTTGTGTATTTTTCTTAGTTTTATTTATGTGTAAAATAGAAATATATGTAAAGAAATATGAATAAACATGTTTTAATAAATATTTTAAATATAATTTAATATTTTTATGCTGATGTGGACATTCTAGATGGAAAAGAGTTCCCTAAATATATATAAGATAGGGTTTGGTACAATACATAATATATTAAATATGCATTTTTCATTTTTTTTGTTAGAATATGGAATTAGAATATGACATTCAATTTTTCCTTTTTTCGATTAGAATATAAAACTTTTTCCATAGAAATATGGAGGATAAAAAAAGTGGTAGTACTCTTGTTTGTTACACTTTCCCAAAATCTCGTTTTGTGGCTTTAAGAAAACAAACATAAGGAAAACCAAAAAAAAAAAGACTTTTAAATAAATATAAAAGACCAGAAAAGCCTTATTGGTTGAAAAATGGTTGTGTAGGCTGTAAAATAATTTACAATTTACAGTCATACTGTTGGTACGTCAAACACAATGCCGAAATCTGCAAAAAAAGAAGTTAGATTTAGCATTCTCTTTTGAATGTAATTCAATGTATTTTTCTGAACTGAATGTCATGTACTACTGTCATTGTTTACAAGATTAAACTTCTCGATTTGAGGGTATTTTTGCTAGGTAATTCCAGGTACTATTTTGAATTTTATTTTATTATTTATGATCAACAGTGGATGAGTGAAATAATATGGCAACAAGTAAATCATAAGAAAATGATCCACCTAAGATTTTGGGATTAAAGTGGATGCCCAGATGCAATCAACGGATTAGGATTAGGATGAAATTTGTAGATTGAAGCTAATTAGGATGAAATTGATTCCTTTTTTTTTAGATGATTCATCTAAGGGTGCAACTTTTTATGAATGGAATCATGTCAAATGGAGGATTCCACAAATTGTTACCACTTACAATAAAGGAAACTGAAAAATCATCCCATCTACCCGATTCATTCCACATAAGAAAAAAAACAAATTATATTTGGGTTTATAGTGATAAAATCCTCCAACTAAAGATGGTTGGGATAAAAAAAATCCCGTAACTAAAATATCTAATGATAAAACCCCTCCAATCAAAGTTTATTAATGGAAAAATCCCATCACGTTAAATCGAGACACTGCGTTTTGAAATGCAGAGATAATGTTAAAACGACATGATGTTTTATACAACAACAAGATGTGTAAAAGCCTTAAAATATACATAAATCCCCAAATTCAATCTCTGAAAATTATATTCCTTTAAGAAAAAAGAAATCAGCAGATTTCTTTGATAACTTTCACAAGTCTAGCAACCGATGATTTCAAACTAAGCTCATTCCAGAAATGCCACACACACTACTAATAAACATTCACAAGTCTAGAAACCGATGATACCGGTTTATGGATTACAGAGAAAACCAAGAGATTAAGCCTTGTCCAAACTCCAAAAGATGATAACCTATGAAAACAAACCATAGCTAAAGTTCGTTCAAAATAACTTACTTACCACTCTAAACAAAACCAAAATGGCTTCTTCCAAGTCATTCACCATTCGCTGTCGCTGCCTCCACGAGCCTTGCCAAAAACCTGAGCTTCTTCATCTCCATTTGCACTTTCTCAGCGGATAATGCTTCCCACTCCTGGCTAATATCTCTTCTCTTTCCGGCTCCAAGGTTCGTCAAGTTCCGAAGCTGCCACTTCTTCTTAGACTCGCTTAAAGATTGCGGCACCAATGTCACAAAGGCATCCCTCACGGTGTTTGACTCATCAGCAGCATCGTTATCAGAATCAAACTCAGTTCTCGCTCCCACATTCTCCTCATTTAAAGGTTGAACATTAGCAGCAGCAACAACTTGCTCGTCTTCAGTATGTTCCTCCTCCTGATTCTTCAAGCAGAGTAAATGAAATTCGAAACACATTTCACCACTTTGTGCTTCGTAGAGAAATAGAAACAAACAAAGCTGATAACTTACAACCAAGTCCACATTTAAAGGTTGAACATTCACAGCAGCAACTTGCTCGTCTTCAGTATGTTCCTCCTCCTGATTCTTCAAGCAGAGTAAATGAAATTCGAAACACATGTCAACACTTTGTGCTTTGTAGAGAAATAGATAGTTATATAAACAAACAAAGCTCATAACTTACAACCAAGACCACATTTAAAGTCTGAACATTAGCAGCAGCAACTTGCACGTCTTCAATATGTTCATCCTCCTGATTCTTCAAACCGTAAATGAAATTCGAAACACATGTCAACACTTGGGTGCTTAGCAGGGGAATAGAAACAAACAAAGCTGAAAACTTACAACGAAGACAGCATTTAAAGGCTGAACATTAGCAGCATCAACTTGCTCGTCTTCTTCCTCAGCTGTCTCCTCCTGATTCTTCAAACAGTAAATGCAATTCATCAAGCAAATATTTGACAATCAATTCAACATATAATATTTGACAATTCAATTCAATTCAATAATAATAAAAAAATGATAACTTACAAGATTCACTCTCTGATTAGCGATTTCGGAATCGTTTCCGCCCCAAATCATGTTGGAGTATCTAAAAGCGTCACTAATGATGGGCTCTTCTTCTCCTTGATTGATTTTCTCCATGCGAGTAAAGAATTTTTCTTTGAACGATCGGATCTTACGCCGAATCTGCTCTTTAGAGTATTTCGCAGCCGCCATGTAATCGGAATCTCCGAGGAAACGGATAAAAGCATCCCAATCAGAGTTTGGTTGGAGTCCTGTTTCAGCTCTATAACCTACAAATCCCTGTTTTCGTACAAATTTCATGAAATCAACATGCAATCCAAAGATAGGAGCTAGAGATAGAGAGAGAGAGCTAGAGAGAGACCATTAAGAGAGAGAGCTCTTCTTCGTCGTTCCAGATCCGGTTTCTCGGCGAAGCCAATTGATCGGTTTTGTTCTTCTTCATTTTCGGCTCTTCTTCAGCTACTACTGCTTCGGAAGCAGATGCACGTTTCCGCTCATATTTTCGTCGGGAAGTCGTAGAGGTCGTCGGAGAGGTCGTCGGAGTCGACATGGTTGTTGTATTTGCCTCTCGCAATCTACGGACTGTGTGCATGCAGAGAAATATAAATTAAAAATCAACCAAATCTACGGACTGTGATCCCAAATATCTGTTAAACTAATTGGAGATTTTAGAGAGAAAGAGAAAAACCTGATTTGGGGGAAGGAAGACAGAGAAGAGAGAAGAAGAAACGTCGTGAAACCCTTTTGACACTTGCAGCCGACTCGAAAAACGGCAAATTTTTAGCTTTAAATATCTCTAACTGGAAAAAAACTTGTAATATTTAGCTTTACAGATAATGGTCCAGCGACTCTTTAAAACTAAAATATTTTGTTAGAGAGAAATAAAATTGGATCGTTTTTTAACAGTTGGTTGATTATATATATATATAAATAATGTGATCTCATTACTGTTTTTATAAACTAACCCATTTGTAAATGTGAGCATAAATGTTATCAATATTATTAAAACTGAGTCACTGAAAAAATTTGGAGCTAAACAAGCGCCTAAATAGCCAAACATCATTTAACCTGAAATTAACATCTAATTAAGCTAATTAACCCGACCCAATGGAGAGAAATAACACGCGGATCTTAAAGGAAGAACTTAAAACAAACCGGTGAAAGATTTCGAATATAAAACCAAACGTGGTAACCAATTCAAGACAAAACCGAAAAAAACTCGAAATTGGAAATGTTTTAATAAGATACACGTAGAGATCACGTAATATCCGGTTAAGTCGTCAGTATGATAATCACGGATGATAAAACGGCAACTATTAATTGTGAAATTATAGTAAACAGCGTTAAAGAAGGTAAGTCGCTCACTAATTTCACATTCGATATCCCAGAAAATATGCTACATTTCAATTTCGAAAATATATCAATTACTTAAAGATTTACTTTCACAGAAATAGGATGGTTTAGATTACGGGTATCTTTCGAGAACGTATATTCGAACCTAATAACCTAATCACCAATCTTAAATAAGACTATAAATACATGGTGCACGATCAAAGAGAATTACATACCTGAATAGCTTTCAGCAAGGAAATCTTAAACCAAAAAGTTTCCTGCCCTTCGAATCACTCTTTGCAAGAACGTGAAGCCAGTGGAGAGTTCAAGTCAACATCCTGTTCCATGCAATAGGCAATTTCATCAAGAAAAACACTAGAGATGATTCTATCTGCCATTGAGGTAATTTGCTAAGTATCTTGCTTGAATAAAAACCTTGGAAAAATCCGTATTTAATATAATCTGATACGGCTATTGGGCTAACATGAACCCAAATTTTTCTTCGACGTGTAGGGAACAAAGATGGAGGAACCTGAAGAGAGAGATCAAGGATAATGGATTTTGGAACAAAAAAATATCTAACAAACCAACTTTCAGTAGAGTAACGAGGAGAGGTACCAACGTTAATCATACATGGAGTGAGTGCAAAAGAGAATTAGGTTTCCTTCGGTTTTAAATCTTCAGATGTTTCTCCTCTTAAATATTTCATCTTTAGTAAGAAAATTTTGTTTTGGTTTTGATTGTATGAAACATCTTAAATATTTCATCTTTAGTAAGAAAATTTTGTTTTGGTTTTGATTGTAGACGAAATCCTGAATGGAAAAGAAAGACAAAAAGAGGTGATTTCAAAAATCAATCCTATAAATGAGAGAAGGATTCTACTAGATGGAGCTGAAGAGAATGACATATGCAACTGAGCAAAGATCAACAACCAAGAACGTGTATGTTTCCACAATAAGTAGTGGCATGTAGGTAAGTCTCTATTTAGATCTTTTCTTTTGATATTATTTCTCAAGAAAAGCATCTTACTCATTTATTCAAAAACAAATCTAAACTCTTTTCTATTTTATGTTTTCAGGCAATTTCAAAAAGAGAGAACATAACTCTCAGCGTTAATGTAAGTTTCCAAAACATTTTAGCTCCAAAGTGTATCGTTATATGATCTTCTCTTTTAACAGTTCTAAAGTTCCTAACTAAAATATATGTTCTCTAACTCAAATTTATTATATCACATTCCCTCTATGTTCTTAGATCATTATCTTTTATCTATGTCAGGATGCATATATATGTTGGAGAGAAGTGTAAGAATCGACGGTGGTGGGGAGGAGAGAAGACGGTGGTGGAGAGGAGTGAAGAGGGTGAGTCGAAGCTATATCTGATTTTTCACCGATGGAAAAAAAACTCGAGGAAGAAGAAATTAAACGGTGTCGTTTTAGCATAAAGAAAGAACAGTGATAATGGTCAAAATTTGTTTTTTTTTAGCTTTGATATGTCTCATATGAGAAAAAAAGATGGATCTAATCAAAAATTGAAAATTGTGATTTTGACTTTAACATGTCTCATGAACAAATTTAAAAATGAGAGAAAAAAAAAAGGATCTACAAACAAGAGTATCATTTTCTTGACCTAAATTACCAATTTTTCTTTTTTTAAAATGAGCTTTACACTAACACAAAAAAATAATGCCAATGGAGACGATTTAGATCTCTTTAATAAAAAATGTCAAAACAATATATAATCTTAGAAATCTAATATTCACAAATTTAACTAACTCAAAGGTTAGTAACATCACGGGTTAGCGCAACATTCTTTTAGATCCGTGTCTTTTCGGAAAAACATAAAGAAAGAACATGACCGATAAAGGTAAAAATTTGTAATATTGACTTTAATATATGTCTCATAGACAAATTTATAAATGAAAGGAAAGAAGTAAATATTGGATTTACAAACAAAAATTTATATGATATCAAATTGAGAATATATTATTTTAAGTGGTCAAGGAGACTTACTAGACTTATTATAAGTTTCTTTTTCTTTTTCTTTTTCATTTTAATTGTACAGAACTACATATTAAATTATTTGATGAAAAATTATTGTTTATTAATGAAACAGCTGATTCGATGGATTCGCCAAATTAATTTCATATCAAAAGACTAGATATCGAATCGAATTGGGATTTGATTTCTCTCATCTCATTCCCCAAGTTGTGCGACTTTTCGTCTTGCGCAAGATGTTAAACAAACGGTGTGGATGCCACAAATGCTGATGTTAATTTTATGGATAGAAAACATGCGAAATGAACTTATCCGTTTTAGGGTATACTCGAGAAGAATTATTACAACCCAAATATTTACCACTTATTTTATCACTTTTCGTCTTATTATTGATTCAATCATTTATTTAATCCTAGACTAAAATTAACACGAATAACTGTGTAACTCAAAAAACTAAAAATTATAACATCTCGTGCTTCTCAAGCCAATTATTAAGTTAATTATGTAAATAAACTCAACAGAAATTGCAACAACCCGTGCTTCCGAAGCACAGGTCAGGATCTAGTCTATACTATTAAAATGGAAGCAATCAAGGGTGCATGTTGGAGTTATTCCTGTCACCAATAGAAAATTATCCCTTATCCGAATTTTTAAGTATAACCCAGAAAAAAACAGGATAGGATCCTATTAAAAAGACTATTTAACCCCACGCTTTTCAAAGCAGAATTTTTTGGAGGTCATTTCTATCAGAACATATTTCGGACCTTTGCTGTTTGAAAACAGGTTTAAGAAGAAAAAAATGGCTAAACAGAAAAAGGGGCTACACACCAGATCTTCGACCCGACCCGCAAAAAAAACACGCGGATCCTAAAAATTTAAATCAGACCGGAAATCGTTTGAGAAATAACCGAATTTGATCGAGGCTTATCAATAAAATAAAACCCATGACCGAAGTCTAATCGAAACTTCTTCAAAATTATGAGATGAAGCTAACATACTTCCAAATCTCAACTCCAACTCCGAAAAATCTGCAACCAATTTTCCATAAATATCGGTCATTTGATTTTCGAATTAAGTCAATTAACTAAACAGCATTAACTACAAATAATACTCTTCCAAGTAAAATATACGAAGAATTTCCAGAAATCTTCCTAATCAACTAATAATAACGAAACAAATCAGTTACTTACTATAAAAAAATCTGCGTTAGCATTAGTTTTTAAATTCAAAGAGATCTGATTGATATTCTTTATGTATACTTCCTAAATGTAAGATTTACTTTAGCAGCAAAAACTGTGAGCTATTTCCAAAAATCAACGGGTAGAATTTAAAAACGGTGAGCTATATTCCAAAAAATCAACGGGTAGAAACAAACCGGATTAAATAAAGGGAAAAGAGGTGGAGAGTTTTAAAAGGAATTTTTCTCTTCTTTTTTCCCCTTGTGTGGGCTTAGGACTCTCTTTTCCAAATAGTGTTTCACTTTATTCTTGATTAGAGCTTTTTGTGTGGTCAAGAGTGTATCTTATCTTATCCAAACACCTTTGTTCGTGGTTTTTGGAGATTCGTCTTTCAGATCTACTTTCTCAAAGAAGATTTGCGAGCTTTCGGTTGGTGAAGAATTGCAGTTACGTTCATCCTGAGTTGTGGTTTCAATCTGAGAGTATTGTGTGGAGATTGTGGCTGTGGTATCTTAAGGTTTCTGACTTGAGTACTAAGAAGTGTGAAGATGTCGGCTGCTATGGATCGTGCCATGATGGCGATGTCGATAGAAGAAGAGGATGTGCCGGTCGAGATTCCGAATCGACCAGAGTACAATTCCAAGGAGAGTAATGTTCTGAGTTTAGTTGGTCGGGTTCTCAACCCGGATTGCCAAAATGTGGCGCACTTAATCGTGGATCTTCCACGCAAGTGGGGAAAGCTGGTAGAATCCGAGGAGTGGTGGTGTCTAATGAGAGATTCCAGTTTTTTTTCAAGACGGAACACGACCTCGAAGAAATCTTGGAGAAAGGAGTCCAAACTTCTAATGAATGGGCTGTAGCTATGGAGAGATGGGTTGAGAAGGAGCCAGTGGGGTTTCTTCAGTTTGTGCCTATTTGGGATCAGATTAGGAATCTCCCTCCTAACTACTACAGGTCTCAAACAATTTGGGACATAGGTGATGTTTTGGGAAAGGTTCAGGAGATCGCCTTTGATGAAAGCAAGAATCAGTCTCACCCGTATGTGAGAATTAAGGTGATCTTTGATGTAGCTAGACCTCTCCGGAAAACCAAACTGGTGAATTTACCTGATGGAGAGCAGAAGATAGTAACTTTCTTCTATGAGAAAATTCAGAAGAGGTGTTACAATTGTCAGAGATTGAATCATGAAAAGGATGTTTGCCCCTTGATAATCAGAGAAAGACAAGATAAAGCGGCGATTAGAAAGGAGAAGTATCTCGCAGCAAAAAGAGAGGCAGAGCTGATTCTGGCCCCGGATGATCCCCTGTTTGGTGTTCTTAAGGAAGATCAAGTTGGGGTTAATCCACTCACGGGAAGACCAAAGATAGATCCGGCTGTTCTGGAAGATATGAGATACTATTGGTAGCTAATAATGGAGATGACATTTTGGTCAAACACGAAAGAGTTAGGTCTACTATTGCGGAGGCTGAAGCAGATCCTGTGGCTCAGAAGACTCTACTGAGAATGGAAGCTCGTCTAATAGTATCTCAAGACGTGGAGAAAGGAAAAGGTAGACTCTTTGACTTTGAGATGGCAGTACAAGTCAAGGATTATGGAGGTGAAAACAAACTGATGGGAGGTGCGATAGCTCAAGGGATGTCGGATGGGAATGATTTTGGGAGTGATGATCTAAGGGCTAAACTGGATTCCCTAAAAACTTTAAGAGGGACAAAGAGATCTACTGTTGGCTTTACGGAATATGGTGCTGGTCTCGATGAGGCTGGTCCATCCGGGGTCACGGTTGGTAAACGAAAGGCAAGGAAGCGTAAAGTTAAAAGGTTGAGGCAGAGTAACCAGAAGAAAGAGCTAAGCTTAGCTACGACAACAGAGTTCAAGAAGAATGGCAAAGGTTTGTTAAACCCCAAGAGAAAGCAGTCAGACACAACTTCACAGTACGCAAAGTGCAAAAACCAGAAGGTGATCCCAAAGGAGGGATCGCCCAACATTTAATGAGCATTGTTTCTTGGAATTGTCAAGGCCTGGGGCAGCCTCAAGACTTGGCAATTCCGCGCCTCAAGGAGCTGCGGAAAAAGCATTTCCCGGAGGTGATGTTCTTGATGGAAACGATGAATTGTAGAAACGTTTTGGTTGACTTGCAAGAGTGGTTGGGGTATGATAGAGTACATACGGTGGAGCCGGTTGGTAAGTGTGGAGGACTTGCTCTGTTCTGTAAAAAGGGTGTAGATATTGAGTTGCTGATTGTGAATAAGAATCTGATGGATCTGCGTGTACAGTTAGTGGGTTGTCCTTCTTTGTTTCCTGTGTATATGGCGATCCTGACAGAAGTAAAAGAGAGGCTGTATGGGACCAGCTAATGCAGATTAGTGTAAATAGAAAGGAGAGCTGGTGTATGTTGGGTGATTTTAACGAAATCATTCATAATGGTGAAAAGTTGGGTGGTCCGAGGAGAAGTGTCAAATCATTTGAAGCTTTCGCAAACATACTTTCTGATTGTGGGATGACTGAACTGTCAAGTAAAGGGAACATGTTTACCTGGGGAGGAATGAGACACACTTGGTGGATTCAAAGTAGATTGGACAGATGTTTTGGAAACAAGGAATGGCTCTCCATGTTCCCTGCCTCGAATGAAGTATTCTTAGACAAGAGAGGATCGGATCATCGGCCTGTTTTGGTGAGTCTTCAGTCTTCTCAAGAAACTTATCGAGGACAATTCAGGTTTGACAAGCACTTCCTGTTTCAACCCTTGGTCAAAGAGTCAGTCTGTCGTGCGTGGAATAAAAGAGAAAGATCTACTGTGGTTTCCGTTGCTGAAAGATTGAGAAACTGCAGGAAATCTCTAAGTAACTGGAAGAAGAATCATAATATGAATGCGAGGGACCGGCTTCATCAGCTGGAGATCAACTTGGAAGAAGAACAGTCCAGTTTTTTCCCGTCGACCGAACGGCTTCGCTACCTGAAAAGAGAACTCGTTATGGCTTATAAGGAAGATGAACTGTTTTGGCGACAAAAAAGCAGACAGAGATGGTTGAGATCAGGGGATCACAACTCCAAATTCTTTCACGAATCAGTAAAGTGTGCGAGAAACAAAAAGAATTTGGAGTTTCTCTTGGAAGAAAACGGAGTGGCCCAAAAGTCAGAAGCAGCGAAAGGAGAGGTAGCTATGGTGTACTTCAAGGAGTTATTTTCCTCGTCTAACCCTACCAATTTCACGGAATGGTTTGCAGATTTTGAGCCTCGAATATCAGAGAGGATGAACGATGCTTTGATAAGGGTAGTCACAGATGCAGAGATAAAAGAGGATGTCTTCTCAATCAAGGCGTCGAGTGCCCCAGGTCCTGATGGGATGACAGAGTGGAGTGGTCGTACCTGAGATCTCTGTTAGAAGCGCTTGGGTTCCACCAACGATGGGTGGAGTGGGTAATGTTTTGTGTATCGTCGGTCTCTTTCTCGGTTCTGATAAATGATCAGCCGCATGGGATTATAACGCCGCAGAGAGGGCTGAGACAGGGAGATCCTCTCTCTCCCTTTCTTTTTGTGTTGTGTACTGAGGGTTTGACCCATCTTTTAAACAGAGCAGAAAGACTTGGGCTAATTGAAGGAATAAGATTAGTGAAGAGGGTCCGGCCATCCATCATCTTTTTTTTGCGGACGACAGTTTGTTCCTGTGTAAGGCTACTGACCAGCAATGTTTCGCACTGAAGCGCACTCTTAAGATCTATGGTGAAGCAACGGGTCAAACGGTTAATCCCAGTAAGTCTTCAATCACTTTTGGAGCTAAGATAGCCAAGGATCAAAAGTTAAGGATCAAAGCAGAATTGGGTATTTCAAGAGAAGGAGGGTCCGGTACTTATCTTGGTTTACCGGAATGTTTTAGTGGATCCAAGATTGATCTCCTGAGCTATATTAATGACGGTGTGCAGAAGCGGATCTCAAACTGGTACTCACGGATTTTGTCTCCGGGAGGTAAAGAAATTCTGCTCAAATCAGTTATATCGGCGATGCCAGTCTATGCTATGTCTTGTTTCAAACTTCCTAAAGGTTTATGTGCAAAGGTGAGAAGTGCCATGGCTAGTTTCTGGTGGAACTCAGAGGAAGACAAGAGAAGACACATTGGATTAGTTGGGAAAGGATGTGTCTCCCAAAACATATGGGAGGAATGGGGTTCAGAGATATAGAAGATTTCAACCAGGCCCTGTTAGCTAAACAAGCGTGGAAGGTGCTTCAGGAGCCAGAAAGTTTATTGGTGAAATTTCTTAAAAGCAGATATTTTAGTTCGACCTCTTTCCTGGAATCAATCATAGGAAGCCGTCCATCTTATGCTTGGAGAAGTATCATTTGGGGAAGAGAGCTGTTGGTGAAGGGTTTGAGAAAGCGAGTGGGTAATGGAAACACGCTAAGAGTTTGGTTTGACCCCTGGATTGTGGATGAAGGCTTAAGAGCCCCTTGGAGATTAACAAATCCGTTTCAGGTAAATCTCTTAGCCAAGGATCTCATAGACCCCTACTCAAAACGATGGGATTTGGCCAAATTGGGGGATATATTCTTTGAGGAAGATATGCGGAGGGTTCTAGAGTTCCAACCGGTAACAGAAAGTGAAGATTTTTGGGTCTGGATGCACAATCAAAGTGGTGAGTATTCTGTTAAATCAGGGTACTGGCTAGCTTCAAAGATCAACCAAGCGGATATACAGAGAGAGGCTGTGATGAAACCTTCTCTAAATATTCTCAAATCGGAAGTGTGGATCATCCCTACTACTCAGAAAATTAGAATTTTCTTATGGAAGGCCCTATGTGGAGGAATTGCAGTTGGAGACAAGATGGAAGAAAGAGGAATGAAGGTTCAGAATGTATGTCAAGCATGTGGCTTAGATGGTGAATCCATAAATCACCTTTTCTTTACTTGCTCATTCTCAAGACAAGTGTGGGCTCTTAGCATTCTACCTATGCCCAAGTCAGGTTTTTCAGAGTCTGTCTATGCGAATATCAGTTACCTTTTGGAGCAGAGAAAGAATGAAGAGCTGCCACAAGAAGTAAGAAGAAGGCTTCCATGGGTAATTTGGTTCCTTTGGAAAAACCGGAATGATCTTGCCTTCCAAAGCCATCAATTCAACGCTATGGCCACGATGGAGAAGATTACGGAAGAAGCAGAGCTATGGTTTTTGGCTCAGGAAGTTGATAAAAGTTGTGAGATTCTGGCTCCGGTCTTGCATCAGAGTGAAGTTAAAAGGTGGAGACCTCCACCGGTCCCCTGGTTGAAGTGCAACGTTGGTTGCTACTGGGAGAAAGGGTCAAGTAAAGGAGGAATGGCTTGGGTCATTCGTGATGGGTCTGGGTCTGTTTTGTTGCATAGTAGAAGAGCTTTTGCTAATGTTAACAGCAAACTCGACTGTAACTTCTTAGGTGTTTTATGGGCTTTGGAAAGTTTGAGGACCCATGGTGTATCGACGGTGGTTTTGGCCGCGGAAGATTCGGTGGTGTGTGGGGTTTTGGAAAGACCAAAAGCGTGGCCCTCTTTTAAGAAGCAAGCGTTGGAGTTTTCTTCGGTGATATCCTGTTTTGAGAGTCTGAAAGTTGAGCTGGAACCGAGATGTGCTAATAGAGGGGCTTTTCTCATAGCCCAAAGTGTTATCAGAGGAGATCGTTGCCATTCCTACGTTGCGACGGGTAGTCCCTCTTGGTTGAATAACATCTTTGCTCATGAGAGAGTCTGACCCTCTGTTTCAAGCCAGGTCCCTTTTTGTTTCTTTGTCTCTTGTGCTCCGTGCCTCTACTCTCTCCTTGTTTTGAGTAGTTAGAGAGGATGTAGGATTGTCCTAGATCTTGAGCTTTTTGGTAGTGATTAGTGATTTTGGTTAGCGTGTAACGCTGGAACTTTTAAGTAAATCAATATAACTTCAGATGGAAAAAAAAAAAAAAAAAAAAGAAACAAACCGGATTTATCTCCATGAAAATCAAATCTTTAACATAATTGTTTAGGTATAAATAGACCTTCCTCTATACCCTACTAAAGAAAAGCAGAGCTTTACTATTTCCTTTAAATCAATTTTAGTGGCGGCTTCTTTTTGTTTAACATACCTTTATGTCTTTCTTTTCAGGTTGGCGAATCCAAGTAATCTTCTTCATGTTTGGAAGCAATGCATTCCCCGTCTGCTGGATAGACATTACAGATGATGAAGACTACATTCATACGCACAAAAAGGAAGACTACATTCATCATATACGTGAGTAACAAATCGTAAACAGTAACAACCTAAACCATCTTTCATATCCCTATTTAAATACACTATCCTATATACCTCAAAAATCACATTGAAACACAAAAGTGGATTTCCAGCGGTACTATCAAATATGAATGCAGGTAGCAAAGAGGTTTTTAAAAGATCTACAAGGAGATGAAGAAAGCAAGAGTTAATATCTAAAAAATATTAACTGCTAAATAAACGAATACATGCTAAATCTCTTTATAATTCTGTATTAAGTTAAAGATTTTATTGTGGGTTCCAAACTACTTACTCACAACGTTTTTTTTTGGTTTCATCGTTTTCAGAAAGAAAGAAAGAAAGAGCTGAAGAAATATGAGGCTTAACAGGATTAATTGTGTTGAAATGCGGATCCAAACTACTTACTAACAGGTTTGCAAATTTTAATCACCTTTGTTCATGTGCATACTTAAACATACTAATATTTATTAATTCAGTCTTCGCTAATTTCGATAACAATAGCTTATTAATGTGCTTAACAAGCCATTACCTTGCAGTCAATACTCAATACATCTTAGGTTCGGAGCACTTCAAAGTAAGTTGGTCCATCCAAATTAGCGATCTGCATACATTGGAGTTTTACAATATCAAGGTAACGGATTATAGACAACAAAACAATGTGTTGCATAGTATAAATTTTGTGCTTCAAATAATTCTTATTCCGTTTTATTTTGTTTATCTTTTTCTCCTGTCTAAACAAGTTCTTAGCCTTTCTCAAAACGAAACTAACTTGCTGTACTTTGGATATGTTTTACCAATACAGAAATGAAACACAGAAATTTTTATTCGATTGGATACCAGAGCAATGAGGAGCAAATGGCATTACCAGAACTTTGGTATATGTTCGGATATCACATTTTTATATCACATTCCCGGTCTGTTCTAAATGAATTTTTTTTTTTCTCTTTCAGATGTAAAGAAGCATGCCAATGTGAAGGGAGAACAAAAAACCATATGATACTCAATTACCTCTTTATTCTGTAGGTTGTTTTAAATCATGCAATGGGACGATAAATCAAGTTTTACTGGTTTGTACCTTTTTTCTGAAGCTGGTATTGTCTTATAAAGAAGGTTTGTTTCTTTTATTCTTCAAACTTGCAGGATGGGATTGGTTGCTTTCGGATTCAACCGGTCTGCACAGCAAGATATAAGCAAAAGCAAATAAAAATGAGAAACAAACGCAGCATAATGACTCATTTTCTAATATGTTATTTTGCTAAAATAATTTGGTGTAAGATATCGAGAATTCTCACACCAAATTATTTTAGCAAGAGAACCTATTAGAAAATCAATACTATTAAGAACGAAACACTTACACATCGAGATTAGTGTTATAAGAGAAATTGTCAGACATAATGTCATCCTTCACCAACAAACTTGAACTATAAATATATCAATTTCTCTCCATACGCATCATCAATCTCAATACCGAAGACATCAAACCTTACTTTAAGACATCAAGATTTAAGACGTAGCCAAGCAGTAAGTAACAAAGAAGAAAAAAACAGAAAGTTGAAGAATTGCTTAGTTCGGACCCAAGAAAATCACTATTATAAATGAAACAGTTAAACACTGAAATAGCGTAAGCAGTAAATAAATAAAAAATCAAACTCGCCTATTTATGTTTGAAATCACGAACTACAGCACGGCATTAAGTTGGTGATGATGTAAATCAAAAAATTCTCCACAACTTAATTGGAACTATGCTTTTGTCAGATGTTATAGGTTATGTTCTTCATGTGGAAGACATCATAACTGTCCAAGTACAAATAGAAAAGAGAAGCGGAAGTTAAGAGTTTGTTCTAATATACACTGAGTAAAAATAGTTTCATGAAACTTTTAAACTGAACCAGTATTTTGCGTTTACTTTATTTCATTAACCCATGTAACTAAAAACAATAGAGGTGTCTACAAAACCTTTTTTAGCATAATATTTCTAGAAACCTGTTAATGTTTATATATTACATTCAAATCATATGCAAATCAGTGGATAACTCGATACTATACCAATAAAACATTCTACAGACTAACTGATCTAAGTTAATACTCATATTTCTACTTTAGCTTTTATGGTAAGCTCGAGTTTAGTAACTAACCTTTTTGATGTTCAATCATTAGGGAGTATGCTGGAGAAGCTCTGTCCCATATCAAGTTCCACGCCTTTGATCTCCAAAATTGTTATACTGGAGTCAATTTGTGACATTAGCTATGATTTACAAAATTTCAGAGCATGGAAGAATAAAGTCTTACTGGAAAGAAACAATGGCTTCTCTACTTTATATTGAAAAATAATGTTTAAACATGAGAGCAGCGAATATCATTCCAAGAATTCTCTGGACGACGTTAAAGATACCCAAACCCCCCAGATTAGATGACCTCTAAAGTAGTAACAACAAAGTAGGTTTCTATGCAATCAAGAATTCTTTGGTTCTAGGAATATTTGAAACCTTTATAAGCTTGATAAAGTAGGAACCATTTCAGTTTTCTATCAAATATGAAAGATTCAGTATGGATTAATTGAGATATTATGCATACGTTTCTTGAACTTGATGGGAGTTGGTTTATATGCAATCACTATAGCTGCATCGTATCAACACCCTTATAACAAAGAGTTTTAGGTTGCCATAAATTATTGACTGATAAATCTGGAGGGATCAAGGACTAAATGGTTATCTATGTGAAGATTATGCAGACCAACTTTTTGAGGAATGCAAGCAAGCTGATGATCAAACACATGATCTCAAATGTTTCTTTTGAGGAGGTACTTTTACTGACTAAACAAAATGTCAAATGTTTGCAAAATATTCTTTCTATTACTGGAAAATTTAACAAAGCTACCATCTAAAATGTCATAGGTTTCTTTTGTCAAGAGTAACAGTTGGCAATTTTAAGCTTTCACAGTTTTCTGTCACCAAGAGTCTTAACATCCAACAATAGATCCACTCTTCGATAACAAGAATCTATCACACAAACAAACACAGAAAAACCATTTTCAGAAAAGACAAAGAAAATGGTTTTTTATTTTCAAAGCATCAATCACATTACGAGCACATAAATAGCTAACTAAAAATTACAAACAGTGAAAGAAAAACACACACCAACAACCTAAAGCATCTTAACTAGGAGAATAAATAAATCAATGCATAATCAAATTTATAATATACCTTTCGCTCCATGAGAAAAATTAGAGGTTGCGCTACATGGTGCGAAACCCAGACGAATCATGACTCTATTGCCGAGGTCCTTGGCAACATAAGGTACCTCCGACGGAGAAGAAACTGAGAGCCGCCTGTTGCTCAAACCAGAACCTGCAATTCCTGTCTCAAAAGACAAAAATTAGAAGCGGAATCGACAAGAAACTAAAGGTTGTTTCGAAAGATAGATTGAGAATGAGGTAAAGGCAATTACCTCAACTTTCCCAAAACCAGTGGAGTCCCATTTCGAGCCTCGCCGGAAGCGTAGAAGAAACATAAACAGGGTATGAGTTCTCTGATTTCGCATGCAAGGAGCAATCGAAAGATTGCTTGGGGAAAAGGAAATGGCTGGAGATCAGAGTCGCAAGGGCCAAGGCTGCTGGAGATAGATCCGCTTTTGATTTCTCCCTCAGCTCATGCACAATACACAAAACACAATGAGCCCGTAAAAAACCCCAGAAAACCCATTTCAACAAATCCGCAAATCCACTGAAACCCGAGCTTGAAAAACTCACTTGATTTCCGAGCTTCACCGAGAAGAGAGAAGGGCTTAAGAATCGACGGTGGTGGAGAGGAGTGTAAGAATCGTCGGTGGTGGAGAGGAGTGTAAGAATCGATGGTGGTGGAGAGAAGAGAAGACGGTGGTGGGGAGGAGAGAAGACGGTGATGGAGAGGAGAGAAATGAGGTTTATAGTAACACAAAAAATAGTGCCCATAGAGACGGTTTAGTTATCTTTAATCAAAAAAATGTCAAAACAATATCCAGTCCCACAAATCTAATATTCACAAATTTAACTAATTCAAAGGTTAACAACATCACATGTCAGTGCAACATTCTTTTAGATCCGGGTCTTTTCGGAAAAACATAAAGAAAGAACGGGAGTGATAAAGATGAAAATTTGTAATCTTGACTTTAATATGTCTCATATGAGAAGAAAAATGGATCTAATCAAAAGTAAAAGTTTGTAATATTGAGTTTAACATGTCTCATAACAAATTTACAAATGAAGAGAAAAGAAAAAAAATGAATCGCGAACAAGAGTATCGTTTTCTTGACCTAAATTGCCCTTTTTCTTTTTTAAAAATGAGCTTTACATTAACACAAAAAAATAATGCTAATGGAGACAGTTTAGTTGTCTTTAATCAAAAAATGTCAAAACAATATCCAATCTTAGAGATATAATATTCACAAATTTAACTAACTCAAAGGTCAGCAACATCATTGGTCATTGCAACACTCTTTTAGATCTGGGTCTTTTCAGAAAAACATAAAAAAAGAACGGGACTGATAAAGGTGAAAATTTGTAGTCTTCACTTTGATATGTCTCGTATGAGAAAAAAAAAACTGATCTAATCAAATGTGAAAGTTTGTGAACTTGACTTTAACATGTCTCATAAACAAATTTACAAATGAAGAGAAAAAAAAGAATGGATTTACAAAGAAGAGTATCGTTTTCTTGACCTAAATTGCCAATTTTGTTTTTTAAATGAGCTTTACACTAACAAAAAAAATAATGCCAATGGAGACGGTTTAGTTCTCTTTAATAAAAAAATGTTAAAACAATATACAATCTTAGAAATCTAATATTCACAAATTTAACTAAGTCAAAGGTTAGCAACATCACAAGTTAGTGCAACATTATTTAGATCCAAGTCTTTTCGGAAAAACATAAAGTAAGAACATGATCGATAAAGGTAAAAGTTTGGAATCTTGACTTTAACATATGTCTCATAGACAAATTTATAAATGAAGGGAAAGAAGAGAATATTAGACTTACAAAAAAAAAATTGATATGATATCAAATTGAGAATATATTATTTTAAGTGGTCAAGGAGACTTACTAGACTTACTACAAGTTTTTTTTTTTTTTTCATTTAAATTGTACAGACCTACATATTAAATTATTTGATGAAAAATTACTGTTTATTAATGAAAGAGCTGATCCGATGGATTCGTCAAATTAATTTCATTTCAGAAGACTAGATATCGAATCAAATTGGGATTCGATTTCTCCTATTCCCCCAAGTTGTGCGAATTTTCGTTTTGCTCAAGCTGTTAAACAAACGGTCTGGATGCCACAAATGCTGATGCTAATTTGATGGATAGAAAACATGCGAAATGAACTCGATAAGAATTATTACATCCTAAATATTTACCACTTTATTTATCTCTTTTCATCTTATTATTTTATATTTCCCTTATATATCTACATACATTCAAGACGATGTTGTACAATTTCATCTCATTTATTAACACAACGTTCAGATTTTTCCTTTTTTAACAAAGCGACGGTGTAACACCCCCGAACCGTCCTAGGCACAGACGTTCCGAGAAGCGCCACAAAATGTCGATGTTCGCCGAATAGGCCATCCCAGACTAAGAACAAATCAGAGCCCAGGTCAGCCCGTCCCACGAACTCGACCCTCTTGACCAAAGCCTAAGGCTTGCCAACCCGTACTTCGGTCAGGAGTTGTGTTAGCCCGGACCAAGCTAATATCATTGGAACATAAGGTCTTTACATAAAACTTTCCTTTATTAAAATATCAGAGTGCTTACAAAATCCGACTTATTTAAAAACATGCGGATCGATCCTTAGTTCCAAACCAAACAACAAACCATAATTTTACAAAAACATACCACAAAACTATTCTGGCGCCTACTGCCTGCAGCGGTCCGCTCTACTTCACACCTCTACGGTCACCTGAAAACATTAAACAAAAGGAATGAGTAATCTAATATTCCCTAATACTCCAAACACAAACGCCGCGGGCTTCTAACCCCGCCTGCACCTGCAATGAGGTTAGCACAACACAACATATGCAATCACACATAATAATGATGCTATAGCCTTAAGACTAACCGTACCCCAATCAAACAAGAACAGGTACGATCAATCCAAGACTATAACAACATCAAACAAGCAATCTATATGCAATGCCCATGCAAACCTAGACAAGTATCTAATACTTGTTTTCTATATGCAATAAGGCGCCTAGGTGCATTAGCCACATTCTCTGCCCACGCCTGTGAAGGTTCACGCTCATCCGGAATCACACAGAAACTAGATGAACGCCTTCACCCGGGCACTACAGTCCATCGCGGTACCCGGTTCATCCTTCCATCTATTGGCCTTACTGGCGCACCATGCCAATGTCTGGTTGGATCCCATATCGTCATATGGTACCATACTCGGCCAAGGCAGCTGACCAGGTTATCCTCCGAGTCTTCCTCCCTTCATGCACAGCCTCCACGCTGCCAATCCGGTTGGGCTCTGACGTGCGAGAATGCGCTTGACTACACCTTCCTAGACAACATGTGGTTAGACACGCCACATGTTCTCAGTACTTAGCATATGGGCCTTTACGCACCACTATGCCTCATACCACCGGTTCTGCGGCAGAGCTTCCCTTGCCTCGGAAGAGTACCCACACGAACCTCGAAAGATCTGGCGGCTCAGCCGTCCGTGATCTTTCCACATCGGAGTCATACTCAACATATGGGCCTTACGCACCACCATGTTAGCATGCACTCGAGGTTTAGCGGCATAGCCATGCTATAACCCCACAACCGATGCATCTATGAGATTTGGCGGCATAGCCATCCACAATCTCACATCACCTAATGATAGATATGCATCTACACAACAAGATCTGACGGCATAACCTTCCCCGAAGGTTACCCATCACAATCTTACACAGAAAAGAGATCTGTTGGCATATCCTTCCCCGAAGGTTACCCAACACAACCTCACACACAAAAGAGATCTGGCGGCCTAACCTTCCCCGAAGGTTACCCGACACAACCTCACAACACAAGAGATTGATGGCATAACTTCTCTCCCTAGAAGATTACCCATCACAACCTCACAAA